CCCGCCCCGTCAGCCCACTGGACCCGCATTCCCCGGCCGATGAACGCGCGCAGCGACCCGCGGCCCCGCCGCACAACACCTGCCCGTCCACCACCACCGCCACTACCACCAACCCACTCGCCCGGCTCGCCCCTATCCGCTGCTCGTCCCACACAACACACATAATTCAAACGAGCAAAACCCACTTGCTCTGGGATCGGCGTACAGCGCACTCGAGTGAGATCTCATATTTTGGCGGCAAAATGTATACAATGTATACGCGCGCACAATAAGCGAGCGAGCGAACGCGATGCGACGGGGGTGCATTCCTTCAGGAGGATCGTCCCCGCCGCGCCCCCGCCCTCCCTCCGCAGCGGGGATTACCCGTCACCGACACCGATGAGCTGCGGCAGTGTGCGGCCCGCCCCCGCCTCACGGTGGGCACGACACACACACACACTCTGGTTTCCCTGAGCCGCACCGCGCTGCGCCTGCGCCCGCCTGCGCCGGGATGGGCTTTGGATTTAGGCCTCGTGTGCGCGCAGCGCTGCGCTTCGCCTCCATTCGAGCGGCCGGCAGCAGCAGGGCCAGCAGGGTGGGCAATAGGATTACGAAGGGAGGACTGCAGCGCAAAGTGCCTAGCCCGGGGCTGGCCACCTTGGCCCACAGGCCGGGCTGCATGTAACGGTGAGGACGGGGGTCAGCGACCGGGCCGGCGGGGCCCACGACGACGCCGCCCCCGCCTCCCCCTCAGGCCGAGGACGCCGTCGTCAGTCCACACTCCCCACACGGCGTGCGGGCGCGCTTGCGCCACACCCCTGGACCGCTGCTCGACCGCGCCCCGCCCGACGGCTCAAGGCCGCACGCGCGACACGCACGCACCCTGCTCGCCGTCACAATGCACAGCTGTTCGACATGTCAAGGCCCGCGACCCGGGGCGGCGTGCCGTCCGGGCGTGCAGCGTGGGCACGGCGATGACGGGCGTGGCGTCGCAACCCCTCGCGCCGTCAATAACGCGCCGGCGCGCGTGTCGTGCGCCACGGAGACGATGATGTGTGAGCGATGAGAAAGGTCGCGGACACACGAGTGCGAGAGAGACAAGTAGCGGGCCCACGGGTAGCAAAATGAAGCAAACTGCATTCAAACCGCATTATAGTATGTCCCATCTGAAACGCGCATTTTAGGCGCACGCACGCGCATATTAGGCGCCTACACGCGTTTTAGGCGCGTTTCAGATTGGACACAAAATGCACATTTTATGCAGATCTGCCACCTGGGGCGCGTGCATGTGCACACCTCCCTCTCCCTCTCGCGATTCCGGCGCCACTTATCTTCCACGAGCGTGGTGGAACGGCACGCTCGGTAGCGGAGTGGGGCCTTGTCCATGTCGTCAGGAAACGCGACACCAACGCCTGTCGTCCCGCCCGCGGTTGGGGGTGGCCAGCGGCGGCAGCGGCGAGCAGATCCCACCTCCGCCTCGCCAAACTCATGGCAGTGTATGTCATGTGCGTGTCCGCAGGGCTTAGCGACAGCGAGTACTTGTGTTCCGGTGTCGTCTTCTCGCCCCCTCCCCCCCGCCCGTCCCAAACCCCCTCAGCCCAGCGACCTCCAGCCGGGCGGACAGGCCGCCACGCCGCACCACGGCGAGCGCAAAAAGCACACGCCATAAGCTTGTTTGTCGAACAAGTCGGGAGCGGGGCGTAAGTGGGAAAGCAAAGCAACCCCGGCGCTGCGGTGAGGTGCGGGGTGGGGTTGGGGTGCGCCACGGTCGTGGCGTGGCGGGCTGGGGTGGGTCGGGGGTTCTGGTCGGAGGCGAACACGCCAGACACGAGGTGGACGCGGTGCCCCCAAGGTTTGATTGGCGACCCCAAACAACATTGCTTCCGGCGCCTGCCCGGGGCCCGGGGGGTGACCGCACCGACACACACGGACGGGGCAGCCCGCGGGCGCGGCCCCGCCACCAAGGCCAAGGCCCTAGCCCGGCCACGTCCGGTCAGAAGCGCCCCGAAAACCAGTATTATTTGTCTGAGGTGGACGTCGTACACCGCAGAAAAAATAATTTTGTATGAGAAGGGCTCGAGCTTGAGGCAAATCTAATGCAAGCGACGTGGCGTTGCGTTAGCGGCTCGAGGGACGCGCGCATGGCGTGCCTGGCCGGGCGCACAACACCTGAGGGGCTGCCTTGCCCCTTCCCGCCACCGCCACCCCCGCAGTGGGCAGGATGAGGATGACACCCCCGGCCGCCGCGCCGCCGGGGCGCTCAGGGAGGATGGGTAGCGCCGCCGCCACCAGAGGAAGTGGCGAGTGGCGGCGTGACCCGCTCGGGCGTGTCGCACGTCAGCGCGTCTTCCTCTCTCGCCTCGCGCTTCCGATTCAACTCAACTTCATAGCGCGTGTGTCGCCGGGCCGGCGTGTCGCCCGTCACCGGCGATGACAAGTGCCCGCTCATCTCCGTGACGTGTGAACTGGGCCCGTGCCTCCGTGATTGAGAGGCGACGCGCCTGTGGCGGGGACGGTGGCGGCGGGGGTGGCCTAGCGCCGTCCGCTGCTCCCGCGCCTGTAGGGCGTCCAGGGGATGTCCGCTGTACTGTCCGACGCGGCCGCCCTGCCGTCCCGTCTGCATATGCATGGGCGCCACGAAACGTTTGGCAGCTGGTTGACGTGTCTGTTTATGCGACGCCGAGGCCGGCAGCCCCGCAGGCCCCGCTGTGCGCAACCCCTCCTGGACAATCGGAGGCCCAACCCGGGCGCGGCGCCGCCGCACCCGGCAGCTGTCATCGCAAGGCACACGGCGGCCGCGCTGATGTGGCGACCGGGATGGGCAGCCCGCAGGCCCCGCCCGCCCCGCCCACGATACAGCATCGCGACATAATTAATGAAGGAGATGCCCCTACAGCCCCCGGCCGCCACGCCCCGGCTGGGCATGAAGTGGTGCGCCATACACCGGAGGGGACGTGGGCCTGATCCGAGTCACGGACACGCGGGGGTGATGTGGACGAGGAAGGGGACAAGGGGGTGGGGGCTGAAGATGCGGGAGGGGACGGAGGGGGATGGGGAG